CCATTTCAGCTTCATTTGTTAAAAACAATGCTAGTTAATTAACAAAACTAATCTCTTTTTTTTTAAATGTTAATTAAGGTGTCCACTTACATATTCGGTTAATAATTCTTATTTCTTTAAACGAAATTACTTTGTTACAATATAATATTCTAATACCAAAAAAAGTACTTAAGTAGCGTGAAAATATCTTTTGTGATGTAACTCTTTCAAAAGTATATAAAAATGATTGCCAGTAGGGGTGTACACGTAAATTTATTAAATACACCTTGTGCGCCACCTAGGAACCAAATCTAGAACCCGACACTCGAAATTTTTGCTCTGTTACAATCGTACCCTGTTACAATTGACCCCACTCTCCCCTATAGCTTTACTGTATTTACGATTCTGAAATCGGTTAGCATATTTTTACGTTGACGTATCAATTGGTTAACATTGTAATGCAGTACGTTAAAAATAAGTACAAATAGGAACTATATACAAAATCTCCTGAATAAAAACCTATTACATGTATGTTTAAATATAAAAGTATTGCCAACAAACTCGTGCAAAACATGTCATTATTAAAAAACTGAAATACGTCTAATAATTTGGTCTAATTATTATGATATACTAATATAATATCTGATATATTAAATATTCTACGTATATGTAATATATCGTCTAATTTATTCAATCATCAAATTTACATGATTGCTACTTCAATTTTCCGACAACATTTCTTATGATCTAATTCTAAATAGAAAAAAGAGAATTTTTGCAAAAACAATTGTATATTTTGTATGTTGATTTGAAATTTGCAACAAAGAAACTACTTAGTTTTTGAATTTATTTTGAATTTACGAAAAATACGCAGCGAGAGGCTTAAAACCAAATATTACAGATTATTTTATCAAGTCTTTATTTTTTAAAAATGTATTTTTGGATTCAAATAAACATGAGTGGAATTTCGAGAATACTCTTAAATAAATGTGCATTTCTGTGAAATTCTCTTTTGCAAATGGAATTAGGCTTAAAGGACTGTTCGGCGTAATTTAATTAGATTGACTCTCTCTCTCAAGAGGTTGCAGAAAGGTTCATTTAAAATACTCTCGTTTAATAACCATTAATTCAACAATGGACAGTATTTAACTAGAATAGACGACACATTA